GCTGCCCACAGCCCCTGTGCCTCCTGCCTGCCCCGTGAGCCTCAGGACTGAGCAGTGGGGCCACACTGACACCGTGTGGGGACAAGAAGGGCCTCAGGGACAGCACTGCAGGAAGAGAGAGCAGAGTCCGGCACACSACTGCCCTTGCTGCTGCCTCTCACCCCTGCCACGGCTTCCACCAGATSCAGACATTCCTCCGGCCCTGGCCACAACCTTCAGGGTTTGCACATGGCATCCTGCCCACGGCAGCCCATGCTCACAGGGGAGAGCCTCTCACACRCACASGGGGCCCTTTGGCACAGWTCCTGTCACTAGAGACAYGTGGGCATCAGCCCTGATTTTGAGCGTAGGAACTAGTAGCCACACTACAGCTCTTCAGTTCCAGCAGCCATGTCACTTCAGTGTCCTCCAGCATAACTGGGGGTCTCTTTGAGCTATCACAGATCAGTGACAGGGGAAAGGGCAGTGCCAGGGGCAGTGCCAGGGACCTTCTGCTGGAACCAGCCATAGCCACTGCTCCCCCTGGAGCAGGTGATCCTGACGTTCCACCCAGATTGGGGGACACTGAGGATGGCTGACTCAGAGATCCTGCTAGGACCAGGGAATGTTGAAAAGGACAAGAGAGAGGGGAGAAGAGGGGGACATCCCCCAATGTTCCAGGAACAGGGCCCCCTCCTGGGTAGGGGGATAGCAAATGCCAGTCAGAGAAGAATGGTGCAACCACAGCCACTGATGAATTTGGGGAGCAGAGCCAAGCCCAATGGCCCTTGAGTCATCCCAGCACAGAGGTACCTCTGGCAGCAGCAGGAGGATGTGGTCAGCAGTAGCAAGAGGCAGGGGGTTAGGGGGCAAATGATCCCCAGCCACAGGTTCACCTCCAGTGCTGTAGGACACAAATGGGGGGACCTTTGGAGCCACGCCATGCAGAGGAGACAAAAATCTTCCCCAACCTCACTACAACTCTCTTGGTGATGAGAAGAACAGTAAAGCTCCATTTTTATTTCCGCTGTAACTCATCTAAAAATGTGTCATTTTCATTACACCAACATAATTGCTGTCCTGGCCACCACAGAAATAGACAGCCTCGTCCTCRGCCTGSACCCCAGTGATGGTTAACGTGSCCGTGGAGCCGGACTTGGATCCGGAGAATCGCGAAGGGATGCCCGAGGGTCTSTTGGTGTTATCGTAGATCAGAGCGACAGGGSCAGTGCCAGGGACCTTCTGCTGGTGCCAGCCATAMYAGCTGCTGCTGCTACCCCCGGAGCAGGTGATCCTGACGGTGTCTCCCACGTTGGCWGACAGCGAGGACGGCTGACTCAGCGCTGCCTGGACCAGGGAACCTGGAGAGGGAGWGGAGAGAGGGAGAAGAGAGGGTCAGTCAGTGTCCAGGGGCACAGACCTGCCTGGGCAGCATTGCAGGGAATGCAACAGTCAAGGACAGAACAGACAGGGACATGGGCACAGGCACATCTGAGGAGCAGAGCCCAGCCCACTGCAGAACGGCTGCTCAGAAGCAGCTCTGACAGCACAGGAGGACACGATCATCAGCAGCACGGAGCTGAGGGGGACACAGCTATGCCAAGAGCTGCCAGGAGACAGAAGGGGCAAAATGTTCCTCTGGTTTTCAAGTCTCTCTCACTTTCTTTTACTCATTCTCTCCACACACCAAAGTTGCTGATGCCACCGGCTGCCTTCGAAGCCACCACAGAAATAGACAGCCTCGTCCTCGGCCTGCACCCCAGTGATGGTTAAAGTGCCCGTGGAGTCAGAGAGGGATCCAGAGAAGGATCCGGAGAATCGCGAAGGGATGCCCGAGGGTCTCTCATCATTCCAGTAGATCAGAGCGACAGGGCCAGTGCCAGGGACCTTCTGCTGGGACCAGCCATACCAGTTGCTGCTGCTACCAGAGCAGGTGATCCTGACGGTGTCTCCCACGTTGGCTGACAGCGAGGACGGCTGACTCAGCGCTGCCTGGACCAGGGAACCTGGAGAGGGAGAGGAGAGAGGG